AACCGCCTAATCTAATGTCGCCCAAGAGTACTTGTCTTCCATTAGACACTAAGTACTCAAGAGAGGACACCAAATTATGTAGTTCCGTCAGGCACACCCTAAGGAAAAACCCGAAAATCCACGTTTTTCCATCAGGACCACAAATGAGAGAATAAAGCTTACATCATTATTAACTATTTCTTACATCATTTTCCATGTAACATCAGAGTATAATATTTATCATTTATAATAGTGGAATATGAACATGTTATCAGAGTTATGAACAATTTAATTTAACAGCGGAATATAAACATGTGATCAGAATTACAACAAAAATAAATATCTATTCATAACATGATGAAGCATTGATATATAAACTATGACAACAGATTATAAAATTTTCATTTATAAAAACACTTAGTGAGAGTTATAAATAAAAACTATGATCACAGCGTAAAAAAATTCTCTCTGAGCCCACCAGGAGGAATCCACACACAAAGGTCAACTCTAGCATCCACCTGTCACCTGCAACAGGGGGAAATAAAACCCTGAGTACTCAATTGTACTCAACAAGACTTACCCGGCAGGAGGAAAGAAAAGACTCTAAGGATATGCAAGGTTATCTGGCTTGTGGGTTTATTGCATCTGCAGGAAGCATTACTAAGCGTGTGTCCTTATATTCAATTTTTTTAGCAACCATCATTAGTTCATTAACTAGTCATTCTATGTAAGCACCCGTGCTACTTTCAAGCAAGTGGTAAGCAATCAGAATCATTTTTACCATCTTTTATCTTCCAGTTCTTACTACATTACACTGAGCAGCTAATAATATTAGTAATTTACTATAAAAATTTTAGAGTCAACACTATCACCATTTTCTCACAAAAATTCCCACAAGTTCACATTCTAATAATTTTAAATATTTTAAAATAATTAGAGCAACCCTGGAAACATTTTCAAACTAGATGAATCAATTACACTAATAGATAGATCATGATTTTATAAGCCTAACAAAATTGGTTTCATAATTTTTGGACAACTATACAAAGTTATATTAATTTTATAAGTTTATTTTTGAAACTAAATTAACAATTGTTTAGAAAACTAAAGGGCCAGCGGCCACCTATTCGGCCCAGCGACCCAAGGCGGGAGTCCACACACACGTGGCCCAGGCGTGGCGGCAGTCCGACAGCGTAGCCCATCACGGCGCGAACGGCCCAGGCGAGGCGCGGAGCAGGCCGCGACCGCGGAGGCGCAAGGCGAGCGGCCCAACAGGCCAGCCCACGTGGCGTGGCCCAGACACGGGCGCGCAATTATGCAAAAAGGACCCCATGCTTCTATCTATTAGTATGCTACCGTTTCTACTATTCCTTTGAGTCAATATTATCACACCTAGACCCTTACTTTTATCTCTATTTACACTTGAGTCCACCTGCTACCTTGAAACAGAGCAACGTAGGGCAGAGGAACCGGCCGACGGCGACGGAGGCGGTGCACAGGGGCAGCGACGGCAGCCATGGAAATAGAACGGCGTGGGGAGGGGCGCGGACCATGCCTGGACCATGACCTAGCCGCGGCACGAACCGAGGCGGGGCACCGAACGGTGGCCACACGCGGCCACGATAGGGAAGGCGGCGTGCCAGAATCTGGCCGAGAAGGAGGGCTGGCCACGGTGGGGCTTGATGGCCCGGCCACGGACGACGGCGGGGCGACACGTGGGCATCGACGGCTCCGGCCAGCAGGAGGTCGCCCGGAGCAGCGGTTTTATCGCGGGGCCGAGGGGCGCGCGCGCTCGCACATGGTGGCCGAGTGACGGCAGGCGGCCACGGCGCACCGGGGGTGGTTGCGACGCGGAAGGGGTAGCACGGAGGGTTTGCAGCTCCAGCACAGGGCCGTGGGGGTGTGCATGCGCTCACGAGGGGGCCAGGCCATGGACGGCGGCGGACGGTGTGGCCACGACGGCGGTGCTCCTGGGCTCGGTGGCTGCGCAGCGGCGGAGGAGCAGGGAGGGCAGCACTGTGGGTCATGCGCGTGCTCGCACGAGAGAAAGGGGAATGAGCCTGCGACGACGGGCAGGAGCTGGGGCGCCACCTCCTCGACAGCAGAAAAGAGCGGGAGGGGAAGCAACGCGAGGGGGAGAGACCAAGAGAGAGGGTGAGCAGGGCGAGAGCAGCAGCTTGGCGTCGACTGAATCACACATGAGACAGCAGACAGGCCTCGTGGCAAGGACACAGACATGAGCAGAGCAAGAGAGAGAAAAAGCAGGGTGAAGGTAGTACGCGGCAGCAGTAGCTCGGTAGGTGGGATGAACGGCCGAGTGCGAGCGGGGCGAGGTAGTTGAGGTGAGCGGCTGAGATTGCTCGCTACAGGCGCCAATTCACGAACAGAGCGCCAACGATACGGTTCAATGCGTTCTAGCGAATTTCGGTCAATTTCTACGAGGGCGCCGTGACACCCATTCCCACCCCAACCTACACCGTTCTCGAGTACTCACCGTGGTACAAATTACTAAATAAAACATGACACAAGCGTTTAAGAATTTTAATCGGAGTTTAACTTCCAATCTCATTTTTGTGCCATCAGAAATACCATAGAACAACCTCTATTCACCAAATCAACAGTTGCATTCTTATCTACTAAACTTACACCTGAAATTTTATTTAAGTACCAATTACAAGTTATATTTTATTTTTGTTTATAAAAATTGTTTTTCATACTTAATAAAATAAACCAGCCATTCGCTATTTATTTGCCATCAGGCATTTATAAGCACTAGTCCATACGTCATACTAACTCCTAGAAACAAAACATCTAGGAACTAATTAACCCATTGTTCAATATAATTCGCCAAAATTGACACTTTTAAACATAAGTTAAATTTTAAAATCCGAGAAAATCGTTTCGGTAAATCCTCTTAGGTCTAAATCTCGGTGCTAAGCAAGCTCGTAACACCAGAGGTGTTACACTAGCCAACATGCTAGTCTCTGGCGCTCCGTCTATATGCTCTCCCTCTCTTTTAGCTCCATCTCCATGCTCTCCTCTCTGTGTTCCAATCTAGTATGACATTACATCACAATCGCCAACTAGCCATCCTCGACCCATGCCTCACGGCATCATCAATAGTGGTGACAACAAGGCCAAAGCTAGTGCTCCTTAGACAGAAGAGGTAGGTGAACGATTGCTTTGCCATTAAGTTTCTTCCCCGGTCAAGAATGAGGTATGGATCCAACCGCTATGGCATATGGCATCGTGATGCAAAGTAGATCAGGTCCATTTAGACCTAACTGACACTATGACAAGTTCCTGGATTACACACTTACATGTCCGAGGACATGAATTTCGAAGTTTGGGTTCTAGACAATACATAAAGACAAATCTGTGGACTTAAAATACATTAGAGTTCTGAGACCTAAATGACACATAGAGAAAAATTCAAGGATCGGTGTGTATTTTACTCTTTAGTTTATATCGAGGTTAGTTAGCCTTTAATTCTTAAAATGTCTAGAGTTAGACAAGCTATTAATTTTGTTAACCTTGTTAGTTCACCTTTAATGTAGGCCATGTTTAAAATTGGTGAAACAAGTTTTAGTAGTCTCTATTTATCATACTCATGAGTCGTTACATGCAACAATGGAGAGAGAAATGGAGAGAGAGAGAGAGAGGTGGAGTCGTGGAGAAAGATGTTGGAAGGTCGAGCAACCTTCCTATAGATTGGCCAACCTGGCTATGAGTCCATCCAGGTTCAATTCTTGTGATAAGCCAAGAAACACACCGAGAAGTGATCATGTACATTGATGCAGTGACAATTTGATCCGACATCCCAGTTAGCCCCAGGCCACCGCGCCGCGCCGCTGGCCATCACCGCAAGCAGGGCCGCACACCACCTGCCTGAGTGCCAGCACGTGACCACTCTTCCTCCCCACCTAGCCGCCACCACTAACAAGCGTGTCATGGTGCCGCCGCCATCGCTCGAATCGATGCTCCACACCCCCACCCGGTGCCCGCGCGAGCCCTTTGGTTGTGGGTTGGGCATGTCCGCAGCTTTGCCCTCCGAGGACCGAGGCTCCAAGCAACCAAACATTGAGCGGCGACGAGGAGCGATTGTAGGTTGACTCAACGCCTGCCCTCCCTCCTTCGGTGACGATTGGTAATCTATTCATATTTTTTTTTGGTAAAAACCAAAATCAAACTGCTGAAACCGAATTTTTTCGGTACCGATTTTTGGAACGAACTGATTTTAGGAGGAAATGATCCAACAATACCAAATGTCCAACCCTATCTTAGGAGTGTTGCTGATGCCCCCCACGTGTTTGATCGGCTGTACGTGCCCAACCCCTTGCCACTTGCTAGTTGCTTAGGGAGTGTTTGGTTCTTTAGTTATCCTAAAATTCATGTCACATCGAATGGTTAGAAACTAATAACGAGCATTAAATATAGATTAATTACAAAACCAATTGCATAGACGGTGGCTAATTTGCGAGACGATTTTTTAAGCCTAATTAATCTGTCATTAGCACATGTTTACTGTAACACCACGTTGTCAAATCATGAACTAATTAGGCTTAAAAGATTCGTCTCGCAAATTAGTCATAAGTTATGCAATTAGTTTCGTAATTAGTCTATATTTAATAGTCTACATGTGTCGAACATTCGATGTGAATAGGAATTTTAGGCCTCAGTCCCCCTCTTCCCCTCCACTCGCGAGTCGCGACTGGTTTTGCCGTGGTGCCGTCCGTTCCGTTCCAGTTCCCGTTCTTTCTCCACCTAGTCCCACTGAAGCTGGGCCCCGCACCCTTCGTTTCTCACTGTCACATGGTCCCATTGATACCGGGAGCCACTGACTGGTAGGCCCCACGTTCTCCCGCCCGCTTCCTCTCCATTACACCCTCTCTCCTCCGTGCCGCCGCGCTTTTCTCCTCCCGCGCCCCTCCGCGAGCTCCCTGCCCCTCGCGCTCCCGCCGGCGACAAGCTCCCGCCAGAGTTAGGTAGATCAGGGTGCTGTGCCGGCACGCGTGGAAGGGATGGAGGACCTCGCGGGTTCGCGTGGCGGCGGGGGGTGCGGTGGTCTTGACGCGCAGATCGAGCAGCTCATGGAGTGCCGCCCGCTCCCAGAGACGGAGGTGAGGCGTGCCACCCAATCCCCTTCCATCTGGCTTCTTTGATTCGGCTTATGGCGGCCGGTTTCGGCGGGGGAGTTTCTTTAGGGTTAGATCGTTTTCGGGAAAGATGACGCCTTTCTGTGGTCCGGGTTTCGCCGGCTGCGGTAGATCTCTCATGTCTTTACGTCATTGAGTGGAATAAATCCTGCAGTTTTTTGTGCTCCTATGGTTTCTGGATCAGAATATGCTATAGCAGCTTATGCCATAGATGCCGAATCTAGCTCTGCTCTGTGTTTTGGTACTACTAAACCTGAATTTATGGTGGCTGTATTTGTCATTGCATCGACATTCTTGCTACTTTATGGCCTGCGCTGCTGTTTAGTTCCGGTGGTAGGATTGGAATGCTTTTTTAACTGCCTGGAGCATTGTCAGGTTAAAACACTGTGTGAGAAGGCCAAGGAGATATTAATGGAGGAAAGCAATGTTCAGGTACGGCAGATCTCTCACACAATTACTCAGCTTGACTTTTTGTTTTTGGTGCTACAATGTTTGTCTCTTCACTGCCTATCACGACATCAATGGTTTTGGGGCCTAAGGTTGGTTGGGGAATATACTGAATGCATGCTCTACTTAGTTTGGGTAACATCATCCTCAGTGATAATCTATTTGTAATTTGTAATTGAATGTTATTATATTAGTATTTATGTATATGTATAGAGGGAACCGACATCATATGCAGGAAGAATTGAAAATTTTGTGCCCTTTTTCTTGGGCGTCCCATGAAAGAAGTTGACCTTTTTGGAGTTTAATACCTTAAGGGTACTGGTACCTTCCACCTGTGGAATATACAGTCAACACAATGTGCTGGTTGGCATGCAAAAGTGATTTAATGACAAACGAGAGGGAAAGTATGGGTGCCTCACTATTGGCTAGGTAATCCCAAGTTTGTGCATGTACTTTCAAGCTAATAATGCTGTATTTATTATTTGCATGTTTGTTTAATGTTTCAAGTTTCTTTTGGTAAGTTTTGACCCCTTAGTGCTGTGTGTATAGCTACAACCAAAAGGATGATCTGATGTGTTTACACTTCTTTATTCCATTTGATTAACTGTTAGTTTCTGGTGTGAAGTTTGATGTGCCAAGTAGAATTTTATCTGTGGCCACAGCCAAAGAGTGCATGCTTTATGTACATTTGACATGCATGCAACTATGCTGTTTTATGTTCCAGCAGAAGCTGTTTTAACTTGGCCTTTTTATGCTATATATGTACAGCCAGTTAAAAGCCCTGTGACAATTTGTGGTGATATTCATGGCCAATTCCATGATCTTGTAGAACTTTTCCGGATTGGTGGGAAGGTACTCAGTACACTGTGCAATCTTTGTGCATTATATCTCTCTTTGCACTTTTGATGCTGTTCATTTCATTCTCCGAGAGCTGACAGATCATTCTTTGTTGTTTACCAGTGTCCAGATACGAATTATTTGTTTATGGGTGATTATGTGGATCGTGGCTATTACTCTGTTGAGACAGTAACGGTAAGATCTAGCCTGATAGTTGCATTTGTTTTTTTTTATGAATTATGAATTATGATAATAGAAGACCAATGTTCCCATGTTTAGTTTCCATCTGCTGTTGTGTTGGTTTCATTCCACCCCTATTTTTAATTTTCTATCTAATTCATTTAACTTTAAAATTCACAAGTTATATGTGCAGTGTTTTTCTTGAATAGCAGTGAGATCTATAGTCTAAGTCTAGCATGCATAATTGATAAGTCAATGTTGTCGTGTGGACACTCACAAATCACCGCTGTTGTTGTCACCCTAATTTCCTTTCCACTGTTCATAGAATGTTTTTTCCTTATCTCTTTCCACTTTTCTGTTAGTGTGATTTTCTCTATTTCCTTTGTTTAGTAAATGGCTGTAAATTGTTTCTTTTTGTTCTATTGCTTTTGTTATCTAGAAACAAGAACAAGAGCAGAACATAAGTTGCAGATGATTTGGCTAGTGCCAGTTTTCACTCCGCAAATTTCCCCTGAAGTTTGGCATTAGCAGTTTGTTGCAAGGGTGCTATGGATATGTTTGATCGGCGCCCCAGTGCACCCTGCCGATACAAATGGAATGAAATCCTTGTAGAATATTTTCAACTAAACCAAATGTGTGTCAATTCTAGCAACCATTACCAAAAATAGGACTATTTATGAAAGTAAGCATATCTGTTGATTCTATTATGTTAATGAATTTTCTGTTAGTCATTATTTGTTGACATGATATAGTGTCCATCGTGCAGCTTTTGGTTGCACTTAAGGTGCGGTACCCACAACGCATCACAATTCTTCGTGGAAACCATGAGAGTAGGCAGGTACGGTAACTCCACAACACCTATGAAATTATTTGCTCTTTCATTAGTTAAAATACTGACCTTCTCATTTTGTTTATTAGTGTTACCTTTTCTTTAGCTACTGTCTGATTTGTATGCATATAGAATCGTGCCTACTCTTACATATATCTCACTTGAAATTATTTGCTCCTTCATTAACAAAAATACAAACCTTCTCATTTTGTTTATTAGTGTTACTTTCTTTAGCTATATTCTGATATGAATGCATATAGAATCACGCCTGCTCTTTGTTGTAAATCTCACTCAAATTCTGTATTTCATTTGAGGAATCTTCAATTTTGCAGATCACACAGGTGTATGGCTTCTATGATGAATGCCTACGAAAGTGAGTTATTTAGGTGCTTGAAAATCACCTACTCATCTACTCTTATTCCTTGTGTAGTCTGTGTACTGCAGCATCACATTCATACTAGAAGACCGCCAATGACTTTGGATTAGGAAAGTGTGGCAGAAATTTAGAGCACCTAACCTTAGGCTACTTAGTTGCTCCACGGTGATCATAAGACTATGACAAATCTTATACCATAGTTGAATACTGTAAGAGCAACTCCAAGAGCCTCTTTATACCCTTCTTTATTGACTAGGTAGCGTGCCCGTGCGTTGCTACGGGACAGCTAAACTTTTGTACTACAAATACACGGATCACACAATAAAATAACAATACTGTGAAATTAAATACGACGTTAAAGTTGTTAGTCGTTGAACTCTCACTCTCGGTAGTAGCAGAATTCTTACTCTCATCGAGAGAGGATGACACTAAGAGTTGGGACAATTTTCTGGTTTATTTCTCACACAAACTCACACAAATGCCATACCAACCTGAGGGGTTGGGGATACATATTTATAGGCTGCTAGTCAGCCAAGCATATGCCTAGATGCTATCCTAGATGCTGTCCTAAATGCTAGTCCTAGATGCTAAGAGGATGCTGCTTCTGCTGTCCCAGTCAAGGATGCTGCTGCTGCTGTCCTCTGTTCCAGTCAAGGATGCTGTCCTTGATGGCAGCAAAAACCCCACAAAGACTGCTGCAGCCCCACAAAGACCACATAGACTTATCCATCATTCTCCCCCTAAGTCTTGTGCGTCGTCTTGTGGGGAAGTTGAACCATCCCGGTCCTGGAGTAGAGCTCAAGGAACTTGATCCTCCCAAGGGGTTTGGTGAGCAGGTCCGCAAGCTGGTCCTTGGTGTTGATGTAGCTCGCCTTGATGCTCCCTTCCTCAAAACAGCCTCGGATGAAGTGGTACCTCACCCGGATGTGCTTGCTGCGTTCGTGGAAGACGGGGTTGTTTGCCAAGGCCAGAGCGGACTTGCTGTCCACCCTGAGCTCCACCGCTCTAGTGTCTCTGCCGAGGAGATCACCAAGCGATCAGCGAGCAGGCGCTGAAGTCGAAGCGGTGGAGGCCGCTATGTACTCGGCCTCGCACCGGACAAGGCCACCACTGCTACTTGACCGATCGCCACTAACGAAGGCACTTGCCGAGGAAGAAGAGGATCCCGCTTCGTGCTCTTCTTTGGTGTCGATGTCGCCGACGTGGTCATTGTGTACCCAACGGCGTGTGCCGCCCAGTGGCACCTAGGGTAATAGAGGCCGTGGTCGAGAGTCCCCGCAACGTGCGGATGATCCTCTTCACACTTCTTTGGTGCTCCGTTGTCGGTCATTGCATGAACCGACTAACGTGAGCCGACGGAGAATGCCAGTCCCGGCCGTGTGTGGGCGAGGTAGCGAAGGCTCCCCACAAGACGCCGCAGTCTCGCGTGGCGTCCCACCTCCTCCGCCCGTCTTTGTCGTGCGGCTCGACCACCTCTCTCCTCCATCGGAGTGAGAGTCGGGTTGCGATCGGTGAGCCCGGCTAGCTCAACGACGCGCTTTGGCGTGGCGCGGTCTGTCGAGCGTGATCCCGAGTCATCCCGGTGCACCTCGATCCCGGTGTAGAAGGAGAGAGGTCCCAGGTCACTCATCTGGAAGGTGGCCTTCATCTCTTCCTTGAATGCCGCCACCTCCGCATCCTTGGTGCCGGTGATCACCAAGTCGTCGACGTAGACACCCACCAGCAGAGCATTTCCTCCACTGCCCCGTCGGTAGATGGCCGCCTCGTGCGGGCTTTGCTCGAAGCCCATCCCCTTTAGCGTGGAATCCAGCTTGGCATTCCACGCCCTCGATCTTCGCCGCAAGCCATAGAGGGCCTTGCGCAGCGTGAGCACCTGCTGCCTCCTTGCCGGGGATCGCAAATCTCGGTGGCTGGTGCACGCAGACCTCCTCCTTCAAGTCGCCGTTAAGGAACGCCGACTTGACGTCCATGTGATGAACACGCCAGCCCTCCTGGGTAGCTAGCGCAAGTAGGAGTTGCACGTACTCCATCCGTGCCACGGGAGCAAAGGCGTCGTCGAAGTCGACCCCCTCCTGTTGCACGAAGCCTCGTGCCACCAAGCGAGCCTTGTGCTTGACGATGGCACCGGCTTCATCCCTCTTCAGCTTGTACACCCACTTAAGGGTGATCGCGCGGTGACCACAAGGAAGGTCAGCAAGCTCCCAGGTGCGGTTCTTCTCAACCGCATCCATCTCCAACTGCATCGTGGCGCGCCATGCCGCGTGTCTCTCGGCCTCTGCAAACGACCAAGGTTCGCCGTCGTCACACGCAAGGTGCAACTGCGCCTCCAGGTCGTGAGGCACCGGCTGATCGCCGAGAAGGTTCTCCAACAGACGGATCGCATCGCGGCTCGCCGCCGTGGTACGCTGCGCCGACGCGCCTCCTCGTCGTGAGAGAGCGGAGAAGCGAGCTCAACCGGGCCGTGCTCGACCGCGAGTTGGTGGTGGGGTAGACGTGCGGAGTGGTGCTGTCGGTCTTTGAGTGCGTGGCGTTGCGGGCCGGTGGAGCCAAATAAGAACTCATCGCAGCCGAGGTCCCGGTGGAGAGCGTGATCTTTGTCGAGTAGCAGCGTCGGGGTTGGTGGAGGCTCGGGGGGTTTGGGGTAGACGCGCTTCGCCGAAGAAGAGCCGCCTACTCCCCCAGCTCCCCTCGAAGTGGGCGTACTTTCGCAAAGAAGTTGTCGTCGTCGGAGCCGAGCCGCCGCCCACCGCTTTGTCCCCGACGCCCATCCTCGCCCTTTTCGTCGAACACAACGTTGCGCTGCCGCGCGCACACACCGCGTGTCTTGGTCGAGGATGCGGTAGGCCTTCGAGCCTCCACGTGGCCGATGAACACTCCGGTGCTCTTTGTCGTCGAGCTTGCTTGATGTGGCCAAGCTCCTTGGCGAACGCGAAAGCGGTACCAAGACCCGCAAGTGGGAGACCGGCCGGCTTGCGCCCATGCCAAGCCTCGTCTGACGACGCCCCGCCGCCGAGCCTTTGGTAGGCGGCGGTTGAGGATGTAGACCGTAGTCGGCGCCTTGGTAGGGGCGTCACCACCGCCTCTCCCTAGAAGACAAATGCAGCATCCCCTCGCTGAGAGAGGGGCCGAGCCATCCCCACAACCGCCTCTGGTTGCGCTGCTCGACGACGCCGCTTCTGCTGCGGTCAGACGGCTAGCGAGTAGAGGCGCCAATGCCCTTGTCGGTATTGCGATCTGACGACGCGAATTCACCGTCGTGAATTGCCGCCGCCGTTGTTCGGTCGCGCGACCTGCAGCGCTTTCTTGACGTCGACTCATCCTCCTCGCGGCTGACTGCGCAAGACGCTGATGGCGTCCGCGACCTCTTCCTTGCTACCGAGGACCATCACCCACATGTAGCGGGAGAGGTCGCCGACGAAAGCAAAGCAGGAAGTAGCGTCGTCCTCCGGTGTGGCGGTGTCACCGGGCCACACAAGTCCCGTGCACAAGCTCGAGCCTCTCCTTGGCTCGAAGCTTCGTCCGCAGGGGAAAGGGGAGTCGCCTCGCTGCCCGTCAACACGCAGACGGCAGTGGTCGCTCCACATGGTCGAGGCACGGCAGACCTCACCATCTCCGTGTGGCACCGAGCCGCCAGGGGCCTCGGTGAAGGTGCCCAAACGCTCATGCCATTGCCACGCCTCATCATCCGACGAGCAACGAGAGGAGGGGGTTGTGCCACCGCACGTTGAGGACGTAGAGTCGATTTGCGCTTCTGGTTACCTTGGCAAGAGGGTGACGCCGGCGATCCCAAATCATCATGACTCCATCCTCAACCACCACGCTTGTGAACCGTTCTCATCCAAATTGTCCCAAGTCGATGATAGAGTTCCTCAACGCGGGATGTAGTAGACTCCGGTGAGCAACCTCTGCTCACCGACACACGCAGCGATGAAGATGACGGAGCCGACGCCCCTTGATCACGCCGGAGGCATCCCCAAACTTGACGAGCCTCGGACACTAGAGTCAAGCTCGGTCGTCGACCGACCATGTGATGGGTGGCGCGCGTGTTGAGGCACCACCCGTCGATCTTGTCGTTCTTGAGCTGTCATCGCCGAGGAGGAGGCGTGTGCTTTTGGCTCGTCAAGGTGGAGAGCAGCTGCGGCGGCCGGCAGTTACCGAGGTAGCTCGATGCTTGCATGTGCCATGAACAGAGCCGGCTCCTCCTCCTTTGTCGACGTGGGCTGCGCGTGGTGGTGCCGGCGATCCTTGGCCTAATGGCCAAGCCGGCCGCAGCGGCGAAAGTCCGCTCGTCTTGGCTTGTACTGCCGGCCGGCCTTTGCGCTTTAGGCGCCTCATGGCATCACCCTCGGACGCGTCCTCGCGCCCGACACAGGCGTCTCTGCATGCTTTGCGTGGCTTGCCACGCTATGATCACTTGTCGTGGAAGAAGGCTCCCCTTCTTCCGGTCACCTTACCGGCAAGCCACCGCACCCGAGTGAGAAGAAGGAGCTTCCGCTAGTGGTGATGGGCCCCAAGAGAGATCGTGGCTCATCGTCGTTTGTCGACGACCTTGACCTTGAGGCGACCTATCGCCTCCTCGATCGACATCGTGGAGAGATCCAAAGCGAGGACTCGATCGAGCGAGCCATCTGCTTGTACTTCTCGGGGGCCGCAGCCGAAAGAGCTTTTCGACGCCTCTCTCCTCGCCGTAGGTGTCATCGCCGAATCGCACCATCTTCCGCAATGAGTGTTGAGACGGAGAGCAAAGTCATCAACGTCCTCACCGGCTTGAAGGCGGTGTTCTCCACACTCTGCGCGAAGTGCTGCGCAGTGTGGACTTCTGCGCGCGGATCGCCGCCGTCGCGTGCTTGCGGCGATGGCGTCCCAAGCCTCCTTGGCGATCCGCTTGTTGGTAGCGAGAATCGCATCTCGGGCGGGATCGCGATGATGAGGGCATCCAGCGCCCGTCGATCTAGGTCGTAGTCGCCGCTCGCCGCACTCGGATCGCCTCCCACATG